TAAGGTATTCCTTGAGTTCTTTATATGACCATTTTTCTGATGACTCTAGGTCCTCCTGAATATTTAGGCTGTCCTTCATTATTTGTACTCCTTTTCTTCCTTGATTTTTTATGCTGCTCATGTTACTTCTTGTTTTGTTTGACTGCTGAGTTACTGTTTATTCTTATAAATTTATTTGATGCTTGGGAGGAAAGATATTAGAAGGGAAGGGAAGAAGTCACTGTCACTGCTGGTTTCAATGAAGTTATCTCCTCTGCCCGTGATGTCAGTTCTCTGCCATGGTGTATCCCATGCAAATGGTGTCCATTCGTTCCCTTTGCCGGGTGACCAATGAAAAGGGGGGGTCCTGACTGTGTCTCTCAAGCCCTGTTTCCATCCTGTGGCCACTGCCTAGGAAGGCTCGGTTGGCTTTTACCTCTGAAGAATGTATTTTCTTTTGAAAATATTCTCTTCCATTTAAGGATGGCACCCAGACCTGGCTCAGCAAAACCAGCAAGTGACTTGGAGAGCCCCAGCAATGAAGGGCATGGATTCCTTGCTTTTCACAACAACTGAATTCTCCTGTCTTCTCCAAAGATTCCTCTTGTGTTCTCTTCTTCCACAGTGAAAATATTTAATTATTTTCCTGTGTTACATTCTTTCTTAGCACCTTTATTAAGAACCTCTTCTTCTGTCTCCTCCACTGCCTTAAATCCATTTTAATTTTCACTTCTTTCTTTCCCCTAAGATCCTTTTCTTCAGAAATATAAAACAAGTCATCCCAGTCACAAAACTTTTGCGTTGTGCAATTTTCAGGGATTCATTTTGTTAGGTTCAGAGATACCCAGATGGCAGAAACAGAGTATTAGAAAGAAGCTGCTGTAGGAAAAGACAAGGAGACAGTCCTATCCCCGTTTAAAATAAATCCCATGATCATGACAACTGAGGACTTATCACCATTACAACTCCTGCCATAGGTTCAAATTTTAAAATGACCAATGGGAGTAAAATGGCAGTATTCTTATTAGGTTTTCTAAAGTAAACAATGGGGGGAACTGGAAAGTATTCTGATCAGGTATCATATGGCAGCCAATGAGAGAAAATGAGGTGAGGTCTTTAATATGATCTGTATAGGGAAGAGAATGCCCCATAGTTCAAGATACAAGACCCAGATTTCCAAACGTTGAGGTTTTGAGCCTCTCTATTTTGCTCGCCCACTCTGCTTTACCTAACAGAGTGCTGTCTTCACCTTCAAGCCTATATAAGGGCTCAGGAGGCTGGGGTAGGAGGATCTTGAGTCAAAGCTAGGCTCACCAACGGGGAGGCATTAGGCAACTCAGTGAGACCCTGTCTCTAAATATAATACAAAATAGGGCTGAGGATGTGGCTCAGTGGTTGAGTGCCCCTGAATTTAATCCCTGTTACCAAAATCAAAACCAAAACCCAAAACCCAAAACCCCAAAATAATTAGAGATGCACATATGTCCAAATGACCAATATCTTGAGTAAATTCTGGCATCACTGGATTAGCTGGCACATATAGTACTCTGTACTTATATATTTATCCAAACTTCCTCCATTGTCTTAAACTCTTGTCCCTGTAATAGCTCATGCTGCCTAGAAGGACAAAAAGGAGGCTAGTAGGTTACTGAACCAGTCACAGGAAAAAGAAAACTAGGACATCTATGATCCCATATTCAAGGTAGCTAGAAATTGGTTGGCCAGTGAAAGAATATAAACTCACAAAAATCTGTGACAATTTGGAATATATGTGCTTGACTAGGTTCACATTCAGAGTAGGGACATAAGATTTGGGAGTCCTTGGCATAAAGAAACAGAAGGAAAGAAAATTAATGGTGAGCCATGGGAAGAGTTATTTTTAGGGAATAAGCATAAGAAGAATTATTTCAAAGTCAAAAGAAACAGACTGCAAATGGAGAATAAAGATGGGGAAAGAATGTTGCTAGAGGGAGGATATAAAATTGTGGCAAGAGGCCTAATAGCTCGTTTTGTGGGCATTTAGTTTGTGCTTATAGATACCATTTAAACAAGGTATTGTTATTCAGATGAAGATAAATCAAAGCTGACATCATTCTGTGGTAAAAGTCACAATTTCTGTTAATTTAATCTTTCTTTTTTATTGGTGGGGATTTAACTCAGGGGCACTTAACCACTAAGCCACTCCCCAGCTTTTTCTTGTATTTTATTTAGAGACAGGGTCTTGTAGAGTTCCTCAAGGCCTTGCTAAGTTGTGGAGGCAGGTTTTGAACTTGTGATCCTCCTGCCCCAGCTTCCTGAGCTGTCAGGTTTACAGGCATCCCCACCAGGCCCTGGCTAATCTCTTTATTTTTAATTCTACTTTCAAATATGATATTAAGTGCTGGGGAACTTTCTAAAATATTTTTACTATTAGGCTATAATTTCTTAGTGGTAGGATCTATGTTTATTTATTTCAACTTCGTAACTTCAATATGAGTTGGCTTAGAATTCATGGTAAACACATGATTGAATTTATTATATCTTTGCTTCTTCCTGCAATCAATGGATCAGTAGTTTGGTATCAACTGGAAGCTTGTTAGAAATGCAAAATCTTAACCCATCACAGATTTGTGAATCACAATCATCATTTTCAATAAGATCTCCAGGTGATTCTCAGAGGAATCAGTACTTACTGGTGACTGAAAAAACAGTGAATAAATAAATTGTATTGGTCTTATTTCCAGTCCCCTTCATCATAGCTCATGTGATACATCTCAGTTCAATTATCTTTCTAAAATAATCATTTATTATGTCATTTTTGCTTTAAAAAAAAAAGCTTCAAATTTGACAGAATTGGATAGTTCTGCCTGGATTGCAAAGCCTTTCAAAATATGGCCTCAAATTTTTACTATATTTACCTGCATTATCCTTCTACTAGAACTTCCTGTTCTAATCATTTGAACTGATCTGAGTAGATACTTATTTCTTCTTCTCTATATTTATTTGGTTCTACTTCTCTATTTTTGATCATTCAGTGTTCCCTGTTTGGATTAACATCTCATCTTTTCCCATCTAAATCTCACTCATTCTTCTAATTATAGCTAAAATTGCACCCTCATAAAAACCTCTGACCACTCCAGCCCATAGTGCTACTACTCTTCTGACATATAACATCTTGGCTTCATGATGATACCAGAGAATTGTGGACTCTTAGTCTCAAGAAATTTAGATTCCGTTTCTACCTCTGCCACTAACTAGCTGTATAATGCTGAGTAAGTTATTTAACATCTCTGAATTCCAAAATTTGCCTTTTTAAAGAAAAGAACTAGGAATCCCAACAGTATTATGTTCCATATAGTGTGTGAAAATATAATTTGGGGAATGTATTTTAATATACACATAATATTTGTAAATGAATGCTTTTCAAATACAGTTGTTAACTCTCAGATATCTGAAGTACCACTTCTATAATTTTACTGTACTAATAAACTATCCTCTTCTTAGATAAAAGGTCCAATAAATGAAGACAAATTTTAGGCCAACTTAATCTAAATATGTAATGGCTTACTCTTTTACTTTACATTATCAAAATTATGGTAGGTTTAGATAAGACCAAGAACTGAGAGACTGAATCATATAGAATTTAAAAACCAGATTCTATCCTTTTTATATGACAAGAAGAGAACTGTCACTCTCTACCCGTATGTGTGATAGCTTAGATAGGGTTCTGTGCTTGCTGACATTCTTGAGTAATTTCTCTCCCTTGCTTTAAACACAGAGCAGAGCTTCTCCTATGACCCTGCTTGTATTCCTGCAGAGTTTCCTGCAGAAGCTTATATATAACATTTGCATTCATTAGCAAAAGGCTATGAGAAAGAATGAAGTGGGAGCCAGCCTACACAGAATATCAAAAGGCTGTAGGAGAAATGTACTTGTTTTCTTTGCTAAAGTCCTAGTGCAAATTTCCATTAAAATAGTTATAAATTCTTTTCTCCTACATTCTACCTCTGCATTCTAAACCATTCACCTTGGACCTCTAAGAGTGACAAACCTAAATTTGCATGTTGTTTTAAAAAAAACAACCAAAAAATTGTTCTCAGTTTGATATAAGGCACTGCTATCAAATAAAAGGGTAAACAGTAGAGACTGGCACATTTCTTGAATTGTCTATACCTGCTTATAGTTTGTTGTTGTTTATGGCTATACTGAAGGTAAATCTTGGAGTTAAATGTAACAGCAACATTAATTATTAGGAAATGTTCATAATAAATCAACAGTTTGGATTCCACACAATTAAATATTATCATACCAAAATAAGAACCTTTCAATGGAGTTTGGCCTTTATAGAAAAATGTCAATATAATACAGTAACTTTAAAAAAAACCCAAAAGTCTAACAATAAAATTAAGAATGGACAGAATTATAGTCCAGAGTAGTTTAAGGCTAAGAAGAAAAAGAAAGCTTCTTTTATCTTAGAATATTTCTTAGAGCTTATTAATGCACTGGAGGCAGGGCTAGCACCATCGTTGGTTGGAAAACAACTGTACTAAATCTAGTGAGTTTGTTTTCTACAGTTTGGGGCCTGCTTGCCTTATTTCTTTCTGTGCTTTTAAAACTCTTAGATTCATCTTGTCTCTTTTCAGAAGTTGATTTTTGTGTTCTTTAAAGCTATGTCTGCATCAGGATAAGTTCTAGGTGCTTGAAATTTATGTAAAAGAACAGACTAATTCCCTTTCCTTGCAGTAGGTCTTTTCTACTATCTTCCTAGGACTACCAACCCTGATACTGCGTAACTTGTACACTGGCTACATCAGTATGGGTTCTGAGTTGGCTGGTGGACTTCTTCAGAACTAAAAATCCAGGTAAATAACAAATGGCAAAGATTTAATAATAACACTTATTATTATAAGTGTTGTGTTAGTAGTGGGATGCTCAGAAAGCAGACTTGCTTTTGATCACATGTGAGACACCATTAAAGAGTCATAGAAATATTTGGGAAATTTACAAGGGGGCTGAATTAATTTGGTAGGTGGGGATAATATACTCTTTTTTTTTTTTTCAGGAGAAATAGTTTTATTTGGACCCAGAGTTGAAGAATGAGAGTAGGACCTGAGATAGCATATTGAGTTAAGGAGTAGAGATTAGCTAACAAAAGGGCAGTCAGAGATCATCAGCCAAGTGGACTCTACTTCCCAGCAGCCTTGCTGTTAGTACAATCAATAAAAGGACTGCTGGGAAATATATTCGCCACTAAATCACGCCAGTGTGCCATCATTACAAAAATGTACAAGTTTTTCACCATAGTGAAATTAACACAAACCCACCTTTTAAAATGAAATTTTAAAAGATCACATTTTACAGAACTTATACTTGTCTTCAGCATTTAGCTCAGAGGTCTCACCATCTTCCCTGCTAAACTTTTCAGCTATAAAATCTATTAAGCAGTGAGAAGGCTGCCTTTGCTAGCCCATTGCAATTCTCTTCCCATTTTCCCTAGCCAGTCAGGACTGAACAGCAGGGTAAGGCTCAGGTAGGGACAGGATGGAGAGGCACAAGGGCTAAATTCCCCCAGTACAACACGGAAGCTGGAACTTGATGGGACAGCAGAACTGGTGAGACTTGAGGGGAGGGTCCAGGCCCTGTATTCAGTCAGAGTCACTGCTGGAAGAGGAGGAAGAGGAGGAATGCTTGCCATGCTTGTGGTGTTTGTGCATCTTTTTATGAGTTTTCTTCATTTTCTTCTGCATCTTCTTGTCCATTATCATTCCTGGGCCTACGATGCCAGGAGCCATGGGGTTCACAGGAGGCATACTAGGGGCAGGTGGTGGATATAGAGGAGGGTAGTGACCTGAGGGTTGATGTCCTGGATATCCTGGTTGTGGAACAGGATAAGAGGATACACCTGGAGGAAAACCTGGCATCCCCTGGGGAAGTCCTGGGGGACAGGGACCAGGAGGAAAAGCTGGATTGACAGGTGGTGGATATGGTGGATACCCAGGATTGGAACCTCCAGGGTACTTCAAGTTGAGGGGATGTGGATTTGGTCCTGGGTGCCTGGCACTGAGATTCCACATATTCAGGTGTTTCCCCAAGCCTTCCCACAGTCACCTGGGCTTGATCCATCCTCCTCCAGTCTCAGCTCTCACTTCCTGGTTACTCCCATACCATGCTTTGGCACCGGCCTCTATTATCCATCATAATATACTCTTAAATATGGGCAATTATAGTCACTCTGCTTCCGTTTGTATTTTCAGTAGGTGAAGTTGGGAGAAACTTGTGTTACTCAAGGATTCAAAACTCAATATAAAAATCCTAGAAAGCTATTATACTTAAATTTAAAAAAAATTAATAATGAAAAATCTGACCATCTCTCTTACTCTTCTCATCTGTGTTTTTCATGTATTTCTTGAAACCAGTGGAAGTGTAAATAGGAATAACACTATCATTAGTAGTTCTGATAGGTAACAGACAGTTACGAGTAGTGGGAACATGAAGTTAAAGGAATAATTCTATAAACTGAGCCTTCTGTGTTGACTCCTTCACACTTGCTTGCTTATTTATGGTAATGGAGATTGAACCCAGTGGTGCTTTACCACTAAGCTACATCTCCAGCCCTTTTTTATTTTTGAGACAGGGTCTCAATATGATGCTATGGCCTTGCTAAATTGCTGAGATCACAGGTATGGGCTACCACACATTTGTCTGCAGGAGAAATGCAGCTCTGAAAGGCTGATAAGTTATCCTGAAGAGGGGGACTTTTGTGACTCTTTACAGACTAGATTCCAGAACTCAGGGACAAAAGGATAATTCCCCTTAACTATAAAAATTTGACAGAATAGGTTCCAGTTTGAACTTGTATGCGTGGGCTAATGTGACCCAGAGTTGTCTTGGATCTTTGCCATGGACAGTGGGGGCTTGAAACTCTGATGCAATCCCATTGTCAGTCAAAAGTCAGAGAATGGATCTGGGTGAGACTCTGGAAATTTACTTGGGATTCCCAATAACATTGGAAAGAAGAAAGAGCATGCAATCCCTCTTTTCTCTGAAAGAATCTACTCTCTTGGGAGTATCCCCTTTTTACTTTTCCTATTCTTTCTAAAAAACTCATTCCTGCTACACTGAGCCACTTTCTGGAGTGATGGCAAGAACCAGTAAGATGAAACTTTATAGCTGCCTTGGATCTGTTGGCAGGTCCAGGCATAAAGCAAACACTATAAAATAAAATCTCTGTACACCTAATACATCCATAGCAAAGTAAAATATTATAATAACATTCCAAGAAAATGTCTATTCTCAAAGCACATAAACACCTCTATAATTCTTTAGCCTCTGAAGAATGTGATCAGTGAAAAATTATGGTATTAGATTTTTCTCTTTGGCAACAATTCCAACTAGTTAGTGTTTTAAAGTTAAATTTGTAGTAACAATAACAATTTTTCAAAATAAAACACAATACTTACTTGTCTCCAACAATTCCCAAGTTGATTGTGGGGTAACCATGTTCCTGAATTGTTGCCAAGAGGGTTGAACGATTGCTGTCTCGAATCTTTCCTGGTAAGAGGTCATCTTCAGGATTTAGCAGCTAAAAGCCAAAAAAACCCACTAATTATTTTCTTAGAATAATGTTGCCTATTTCTAATGGAAAAATAAACAGAACCAAACAAAACAAGAGCCCCAGATGTACTAAGCATAGTTCGGCACTCCTAACATCTATAACAGTATCTGGCATCATACGCTCAAAGGATCTTTGGAAAAATATTCAAGTAAAGGAGAATGAGAAAATGTTCTTAAAGAATTTAAAACAACAACAACAACAACAACTGCAACAACAGAGATTTTCCACTGTGTTGAACAGCAGATCAAATATCACACCATCTTTGGCTACAATTTGACAATAATGTTCTGGAGATACTGGACCTTCCTAGAAATTGGTCCAAAAACAAAAACAAAAACAAAAAACAATGATCTTTTGTCCTCCCAAAATTATTTTCCAACATATCTCTCAATGAGAACATCTGAAGTAGAGAATGTGTGACCTTATATTCTAAAGTTTGAAGAGAATGATCATTTTTTTCCAAAATTTTTTTCTTTTTTTTGAAGTGGGATCAACAGTAATAAAGAAATTAGACCTTTCTAAAGGAGGCAGATGTATCGTCTCTGAGACAAACTTAAGTAATACTTAGCTCACATTCATAATTCTGTTACTCTGAATTTAGTTGATCTTTAGATATTTAATATCTATTATTAGTATGTCTTGGAGAAAATCAGAAAATGCTATTCTATGGTATGAATTTCCAATAAGATAGAGCGTATAATAGGAGGAGCTTTGGATTCAGACCCAAACTCTTTTTCTTAATTTTCTCATTTGTAAAATAATTATAACAACTACCTTCATGGTACTTCTTAGCACTGAGATAATGAGTACTCATTTTTTTTGCAGATAAATATACAATAAATGTGTTTCTTTTTTCTTTTTTATGATATATGATGTTGAAAGGGTTCCTATTTTCTTCCTATTTGTTCTTATACTGTTATTCTTAGATGCTCATACACATGGAATTAGTTTACAATGTGAACATAGACTATTAGATTATAAAATACTTAAGAAAGAAAGGGAGTCCTTAACACAGAGACACACACAAAATATAACTTTAACATTAGGTGGAAAATACACTTTGACTTCAGAAAGGTTGAATGTTTTCTCTGAGGCAGAAGGTACATCAAAATAAAGAGTGGTAGGCTAAAAAAGGGGGAGAGAAAGGGAGAGAAAGTGGAGAGGGAATTTTATTAAAATAGAGGAAAGATCAGTAGAGGGGATTGAGGAGGACGAAAAAGGGACAGGAAAAGGGAAGAACAGTGGAATGAATTTGACCAAATTTTCATATGTGCAAGAGAGGATGTGGCATGGTGGGTCCCAGAATCAGGTGTATACAAAGGACAGTAATTTTTTTTAAAGTATGTATTTTAAAAATGTAAATAGATTGAAGAGAGATTGTTGAGAGCCACAGCCAAAGGGGCCCCAGCAAACTTCCAGCTGCCAGCAAGCTTCAGACTGCCCCAGCAACATCTAGCTGATTGGCTCCTCTGCGGTGATGTTCATTGGGCTGTTTCCCTGCCCTTCAGACTGCCAGCTGATGATTGGCTCACAGGGGCCCCAGCAACATCTAGCTGATTGGCTCCTCCACGGAGCTGCTCATTGGGTGACTTCTTTGGCTCTGCCCACGCAACCCAGCCAATCGGCCTCAAGAGGAGGAGGATTGTGGGAGGTTGAAAGGCGGGTGTGGGGGAGAGAGGCTTGTGGAAGCCGGTGGTGGCAGTTGGGCTCTGAGGGTTTTTCCCTGGAGCTGTTTTGTTTGGCGTTTGTAGTTCTAAAAATAAAGTTAGTTTCTTTTTGACAAGTGGCTCCTGATTTGTGCCAAGCCAGACTTCGGCAAGAGATAAATCAATGGAGTGGAGGAAGGGGAATGGGATGGAGCAGTGGCAGATGAGGGAGTGCTGGGGACTGAATTGGAGCAGGTTGTGTTCCATGCTTTTGTGATAATATCAGGGTGTATCCTAGTGTTGTATATAACTAAAAACAACCAATTAAAAAAGACACTTTAATTTCAGAAATGTCACAAGGTTTAAGAAAAGTATTGTTTTTCTTTTTGTGATGTGGAGAATTAAACCCAGGGCCTTACCTAAGCATGTACTCTACTGTTAAGCTGCATCTCCAGCCTAAAAAGTACTTCTTTGAAGTGAGAAAATCTGAAATATTTATTTAGGAGGTCGAAGGCAAGCCTACACACCACAGAAGCTTAAGATAGTCATACTGCCAATACCTAGGGCTTCATATATCAGTTCTCTTAAACAGTAACTGTAAGCCCCTTTCATCTTTATTCTGACTCAGTGATACTATGGGGTCAGACTTATGTTGCAAAAATAGCTTTGTAGTCACCTGTCCCCTTATATAGATTAAAGAAAAACTATGAGTATCTCAGGTAGAATCACCTGAAATTCTCCCCTTTAAATACTAATGCTGATTTAACTTAATCTCATGCTTTGTGACACTGCAACTCCCTTTCATCCTTGGTCATGGGTAGGCAGTGCTTGAAAAGTTGCTATGCTAATATAGATTAATTTTCTGATCTTAGTTAACATATTACTGAAGTCTAATTTTAAAAAGTCAAGGCTTGTAGCTCTTTAACTTGTATGGTTACATTTTTTTCCTTTCCCTCACAGCAGGGTACTTATTACCAATTAAGTAAGATTCTCTCGATATTGGGGTATTTTCTTTGCATTCATATTCATTTCTCATTTTGCTGCAGTTACAGAAATAACAGAAGAATTAAAAGATCATTAGAGGATGAATTATGTGTCTGAAAAGTTCACCTAATAATAGTTGGTTAAATGAGGGTGTGGAATTTACAGTATATTTTGAGTAATTTTTAAAGAAAACACAAAGAATTAAATAGAAGATTCTAAAGCTAAATATACTAGGAAAAACCTCACAACTTTCCTGTCTATAACTAAAACTTATTTTCTCTTGTACTTCTAGTCATTTTGGAAATGATACCTAACATTTATTATAGTTAAAATACAAAAGAAAAAGAAAGAGAAAACAAAAACAAAGACCCCTCAACATCTCCATTTTCTATCTACAACATATTAAATTTCAATTTCCTTTTTTTTGGCATTGTAACTGGTGCCATTATCTTCCCAGCTTTCAAATATTCAATTTTGAACCCTTTCCTCTCTTTATAGTCTATTTTCTTCCCAAAGGCCTTGATTATTAAGATTCTAATCTATTTCCTCCTTATCCCTACATTTTTCATTCCTCCAAATTCCACAGTAACAGCATTCATTATATTATGTATGAATTTTTGTGAAAGCCTTATAATTGGCTGCCTTACTTACAAATGCTTTCCTTTTGAGAAATAAATCAGACATCAACTTGCAAAACCATATTGTTACTTGTATAACAGATGTTTTGTACCAAACTTTGACACATAATTCAAAGTATCTTAAGTTAAAATTTTTTAAACATAAGTTTGTTCAGATCTTTATCCTCTGACATAGAACCAAGAACAAATTGATTAAGAGTAACTTCACATTGACTTAAGTGCTCCAAAGATAAGACTAATTGTTCCAGCAAGTCACTTACTTTACAAATTCTAACTTGGCATGGACCTTACTTATTATCTTATGCCTTAAAACCAGCCCATAATCAACCCTAGTTCTCAAAATGTTTAAGTACCTTTCTGTTAACTTCCTCATTTTGAGACACTACTGAGATTTGTTGAAGGGCAGTGGAATATGCCACTCCAAAATATACCAATTTGGTTTAAGGATGATATTTGAGCTGACAGCATTTGAGAAGAAACAGATACAAGAAAAGCTCTCTGCTTTCCCCTTATTTACAAAAAATAGGACATAAATTTCCAAATGTGTCCCTCCTTCCCTATCCACAAGGAAGGACAAACTTATTGGTCTGAAGATGGAACTAGAGGTATCTACAGAACAAACTTTATTAGCTTTTATCTATCATTAGTTTCCCATATATCTTCTGTCTTGTCACTAAAAGTTTAAGATAATTGTTCAATGTTAAAGATGCAGTACAAGCCAGACTTATAACCATGTCTTTGAGAATTACTCACTTTACTTTGGGTATTGGCCATGTATACATACATGAGGTATACATGGTAATAAATTTGTTTTTCTCTTTTAATCTGCCTCCTGTTATGGGGGTCCCAGCTAAAAATTCAGAAGGGTAGGTTCTTCTCTTACACTGATAAGGTGATATCCTCTCTTGCTCAGAAACTTTAATATATTCACCTTGCTTTGATCATCAGGTTTCTGGTGGTCTTTGTATTAGGACTAGGATAGTTATGAAGGTCTTACTAAGACTTAAGCAAGAACCCTCACCATTGGTATTCTCATATTGGTTACATTGCACTTCACTGAATTCTCTGAGACTCTGCTTGGGGGAATCTTTGTTTATGATGAAGGAGTAAGTCTAGAGCTTATCTTGAGTTATGATTCTTTTTGCTGAGCTTCGAAAGCTAGGTGATATTTATTTTATTGGTTGTAAGAATAAGATTCTCAGGACTTTTTGGTTATTTGGTTAGATTTGTACTATTTTTGGTTTTCATTGGTGGAGATCTGCTAAAGCACTGATTTGATACTAACAATCCTATATAAAATGGCTACACTGTGTCTACAAGAATTTAAAAATTTTGTCCATGTTTGAGAGACAGCTTTGGGAAAGAGCTCCTCTTAACCAATCCTGGCCTGTTTATTTTTACAGTTAACATTCAATGGTTTTAGTGTTAGCTAATACATTGATAGATTCATCATAAACTTGTGTTACCATCCTGGAATGACTTTGGCTTCTGTTTTTTCTTTCTTGCATTTATCT